CTCTTTACTTGTTCATCTATCCTTTTAGAGAGTATGCACGAAGGCAAATACAAGGCATGAGAAGAGGCAGAGAAAGGGATTGTCTAGTCCTTGTTTTGGTTCTAATAGTTCCTGTAAACTGCCTATACTTTCTTTAAGTCTAGTCTTTAAAATATATGATTATCCGGAGCATAAGCCTAGCCGATAGACACCATTGTGAAAATGAACTGGATCGGCTTAAAATAACATTTCTTGAGAATAATAATCATCTAGGCTTGATTGAAAATAGTATTAGATTAATAAAGAATTGCTTTTGAATCAGGAATACATAAGGAAAGCTAAGGAAACCTTTTCTAATGTTTTGTCTTTGCCCCAGGCTTCGAGGTTGACATATGACCTAAACTAGCCAAACACTTTATACAAAATCAAAGAGGCCAGATGTGAGAAAAGGCAGAGAAAGAGATCGTCTAGTCATTGTTTTGGTTCTAATCAGGCCCTGTAATTTGTCTATACTCTCTATAAGTCTATTCTTAAAAAGCTAGTATTATTCGAAACATAAGTCTAGCCAATAGAGACCATTGTTAAAATGAACTGTATACAGCTTTTTAGGGATTTTCCGGTGAGTTTTCTTGACTCGTTAGCTTGAATTTGGTTGTGACGATGACACATTGCTCTGATGATGTTCGTCATATGACGGACGAAAGCTTAGCACCTTTTCACCGGAATCGAAGGAGATTACCTCGGAAACAGTGTCAGCACGAATGTTCCAGTAAAGCTAATTGACAGCTGGTAAAGAGGAATCCGCCGTCGTCTTCTGGTGGAATCGACCTCCGAATCTCTTCACCAAACACTTTTACTCGAAATGGAAGTAAGCGCAACAATTATGAAACAAGAGATTCCTTGAAATCCTACTTTTCTTCGCAGGTTTCAGTGTAGCCAATCTACTGTTTGCCAAGAGGAATATGTCGTCGCATTCTGGTGGAATTGACCCTCTAATACACAATTTCCCTCAACGATCGTAGGCCAAGAGATTCCTCCACGCCCAATATTTATTTACTTATTTTTCGTTTGTAAGTAGATTTTTGAAACTATCAAAAAAATTGGTATTATGAGATGTATTCAGCCTATTTCGTTTAAGGTGATGAAGGACTGGTCGTAGAATTTTCATACAATTATATAAATAGAGCTGACGTTTACATTGAATTTCGCAGAGCCTTTCTTTCCCAAAAGTTGTTCTCATCCAGGGTGGACTGTAGTTTAGACTTCGCATAGGTTTCATCAACACGCCCAGCGGAAGATGAACCGTGAAAGTACAGAATGTAAGCTTGACACATTAACCGCTCGGCCTCATTGCCACGAGTGCCCTTGGTCACAGGGCAAATGTGAATTTCAAGGAAGGCCAGGCATTTTCCCATATCACATTCTTTGGTAGGATTTTCGATGAAGCAAAGCTATGTGAAATTCAATGGAAACGTCGTCTCTACTCATATCATTGTGGGGGAAATTCTACTACCAGTCCTTCATCACCATAAACGAAAAATGGTGAATACATCTCATATTATTCATTTACTGGTAGTCCCATTCAGTGGGAATTGTTAAATAATGAAAATTTGCTATCATTGCAGCCGGCCAAATTTTGGGTTCTGTGGCTTTTCTAAGATTTCAAGAAACATACTTGCCCGCTCTGACGATGCCTGTCATGGCGGGGAGACTGAAAGATGAGCAGGAAACGGGGCCGAGGCAAAATTCACACAATTCGAAAAGGCATTCTTCTTTTGGTTTCCAACTTGCCCTTTGAAATGAAGCGTCCTGCCATGTGAAATTAGTAAGGGATACTTCGCAAGTCAGCTCTTCTTCGCGCAATCCAGCTTCCGTCAGCAGACAACTGCTTGAAGTTTAGAATGAAAGACCAACTGAAATCAAATACTATCAGCCCCAAGCAAGTCTGAAGAATGGTCACAGACCAGCTCCAACCGTCTGGGTCAAGGCTTCCAAAGTGTAACTTTCACTTCACTGACCTCCCCATTTTTCCAACTACTCACAACAGACTACTACTTTTGTAATCGATACTTCGTTTTTCCAGCGGTCGTTTGCACTGCTTAATGAGTTTAGACCAATTAGCCAGCCTCGGTTTGAGCCCATTTGTTGAAGGTCGTACGACATATACTGGGCAAACATGTGAGCACTTGGACATTTGCATTAATTTGACGGCCGCTCGGTTAGTAAAGAAGTCACCCTCATTTCCAGGGCAAGCAGAATGGATGGTCAGGAGTAGCTTCTCCAGTAGCGCCCGTAGTCATGGCGTTAGCAGAGGTTGACTGCTCCAAATTCCTACGTACACTCAAAGCCTCGCCCACGTCCGCCTCCACACCCATATCCACAAACTCAACAAAATCCACACTCACATTAACTCATGCACACTGGCCAACAGACAAAGTATCACTCACACTCACCACTCCCAACGTCTTAACTACGCCTAAAGCTTCGCCAACGTCGGTCGTAACACCCACCCACCCACCTCAATCATCATACCCACCCTCACATTCCACCCATGCCTACACGATCACCAAGATCAACACATGCACACCAACACCAACCCTAACTCACAACCAGCACTCACATCCTCAGGCCCATTGGCCTCGCTACCAGAGCCCCATCTTCCTGGTCACTCTGCGGGAGGGTGAGCCGGCCAGAAAAGACTAACTTCCCCTATTCCCTTTGCCTCAACTCGGTTGCCATGTCAGGCCACCTGAAGACTGGAGATAACGAGGTCAGTCTCAGAAGGAGCATGCAAAGGGGCCAACGGTCGAAGAGGGCAGAAGAGAAAATGCTTGATTGTGTGAAATGTGACGGGTGGGAGAGGTAGGCTGACGACGATGGAGACGAGAAAGGTGGGCAGAGATGAGCGCAGATGGGTTGGGCCAGGCTCTTGTTAGAATCGAGGAGCATGGATACATAATGAAAAATAGCCTAAAGAAACGTCTTCTTAAGGGAACTCATTGAAAGTGCTTTAGCCCATTAGTCGAGGAAGATTACATTGGACAGCGGAAGTAAACGAAGGAGGGGACTGGGAAGGTTGAACAAATTAAAGGTTACTACTCATATTTCCTGTTTTCACTTGTTTCACGTCCTTTTGAAGCCTGATTAATGGATTGTCCTTCGGGGCCGGGGGATTGAAACCGACTGTTGGTTCGGTTGTGGGGTGCAAGACCTCGATCTACAGAGCACCAGAACTGTCATCCTCTTCTTGTCAACGGGGCGCAAAGATAACCATCTTCAGAGTATAGCCAGTGGGAGCTTTTATAACTAGTCTAGTCCTAACGACGAAATTCTTCTTGCAGAGGCGGCTGACACAGTCCAAGAATGCCGAGAAATCCCACAAACGCGGGTTTTCTTGTCAATTTTTTTTATCTATTCGTACTTATAGGACTAAAGTAGAGGTTATAAAATCGACGATTATAAGGAGTCTGTGTCTAGCAAGCGCAAACCAGGTGAACCAGGAAATGGGTAGATTGAGGCAAGTATTATTTTTTTTTAATTTTCCCAATAAAATTAATAGATAATTATATTTCGGTACTTAATATAAGAGGTTGAGGAGACATTGTTATTTGGGACGAAATAGACACCTGTACCTTTCTAATTTTGCCTTCGTGAAAAACTTGCAAAGAAGCTAGGCGACCTATTAAGGAAGCGGAACATCAGAACAAATTACAAAAAGTGAGTAACACTTTCTTTTAGAAAATTATCGGACCATCTTTCTGAATCAGGCTGTTAAAAGGTTTCGGAGGGGAGACTTGCTGATCTATCTAGAAGAGATGATGCAAACACAAAACCGCTTGGTAAGGTCTACGGGTCGAAAAATCTGAGCTCGCTGAACATATGAACACACTTAATAGACTGGCCAAAAAGACAATGTTTTGTGGGTTATGAAGTCTACAGAAATCAACAAAGCAGCCAATATCCTGCAGTGGAGAACTGATTGTAGGAAGTGGGTTGACCTTGTTGTCGCAGCTTAGTCTCGTTGTCAGGGCGAAGTCGCCTGCCATATTAGTTGTCATGATTCCCAGCATCAGGCAGTGAACTTGGTACATTCTCAAACGTTTTACCATTGGTAAGTGCTGCCATTTTCAGCACGAAGCTACGAGCTCGTCAAAGAGACAAGTCATGTCAACCCCTCGACAAACGTTCTGCCAAAAACGGTTACACTATCACTCATCTTGCTGTCCTGAGAATGTACCAAGTCCACTGTCTGATGCTGGGAATCATGACAACTATTATGGCAGACGACTTCGGCCTAGGTGCGTTTTACTAAGTCGCCATGACAACAAGACCAAGTTGCGA